AATGGGTAAAAAGAAAAAAATGCGTTGAGTACAAATAAAATAGAGGTAAAAGAGGGGGGAACATTGTTGAAAAAACAGCACAAATACAATTACAAATTATTACAGAAAATTACATTAAAACAGCGTTTATTTTAAAAAAAAAAAAAAACAAAACATACATGGGTTGACAATAGAGGGGTAAGGTAGGTTACAGGGAATTTATTAGGTATAGCTTCGTTTTTAACTTAAACTGGTTGAGAGAGGTACTGTCTTTAACATGGTTGGGAAGGTCATTCCACATTCTGGGCCCCTTGATTTGTAGAGCATTTCTGGTTTGATTAAGTCGTACTCTAGGAATATCAAAACTGTATTTATTTCTGGTGTGGTGCTCATGGGTTCTGTTACAACCTTCTATGAAGCTTTTGAGATCAGGATTGGCATTACAGTTTAGCGTTTTATATATGTATAATACACATGAGAGAATGTGCAGTGACTTAATGTCTAACATATTCAGGGATTTGAGTAGGGGTACCGAGTGATGTCTGGGGCCAGAATTGGATATTGTCCTAATAGCAGCTTTGTGTTGAGTAATTAGAGGACGTAAGTGATTTTGGGTAGTAGAGCCCCAAGCACAAGCACTTTATGTCCGCCTCCAATAGTCTCACCCTGATCTCAGGAGAGAGCACGGACATAAACTTCTCCATGACCATAAGCCTCTTGACCTCCTCAGCCGACCTCGCTCCTTCAGACTCCAGCCACTTAAGGAACTTTCTCTCCATGTCCCTCGCCGTCTCCGCATAAGACTTTCCTGGCGAACAGGTACATTCCCTGAATCTCTTCCTGTAACATTCCGGCGTGAGCTTGAAAGAATGGAGCACAGCTCTCTTTACAGCATCGTAGTTGGTGCACTCTTGGAGGTCGAGCATATTGTAGGCTTCACGAGCTTCACCGGTAAGCCTACCCTGAACAGCTCCGCCCACTCCGCCCTCGGCCACCTCTTCAAGGTGGCGACCCTCTCGAAGTGGTCGAAGAAAACCTTCAGCTTCATTTGGTATAAAAACCGGCAGATCTCGCTCCCTCACTCGGCGGTCTTCCTGCTGTGGCGGAGCAGGTGGAGCTAATCCTAGCTCAGATCGCTTCAGTTCCACATCCTTGTTAGCTTCTATCTCGTGCTGTTTCAGCCTAGCTTCTCGCTCGTGCTCTTCTCGTCTTAGCTGTGCTTCTCGCTCCTCACGCTTCAGCTGTGCTTCTCGCTCCTCACGCTTCAGCTGTGCTTCTCGCTCCTCACGCTTCAGCTGTGCTTCTCGCTCCTCACGCTTCAGCTGTGCTTCTCGCTCCTCACGCTTCAGCTGTGCTTCTCGCTCCTCACGCTTCAGCTGTGCTTCTCGCTCATCACGCTTCAGCTGTGCTTCTCGCTCCTCACGCTTCAGCTGTGCTTCTCGCTCCTCACGCTTCAGCTGTGCTTCTCGCTCCTCACGCTTCAGCTGTGCTTCTGCTTCTCGCTCTTCTTTGCGCTGCTGTGCCTCTCGCTCTCTTTGCGCTGCTGTGCCTCTGCTTCTCGCTCTTCTTTGTGCTGCTGTGCCTCTCACTCTTCCTTGCGCTGCTGTGCTTCCAGCTGCATCTTCATTATCTCCAGCTTAACGCTGTGCCTGCTGCCGCTGGATCCCTGCTGCTCCCACCAATGCTCAGGTGTTCTCCCATACTGGCAGGTGTTTGTGGCCATTCCTCCCCCAAAGCTTTGTCTCGTGCCCTGAGCTGTGCCATGATCTCCAGTCGTCTCTCTCCCACTCTGGAAGATCTCAGCTTTATCCCAAAATGGTCTGCTATTGACTGTAACTGTGCCTTGGTGCACTCCTCCAGCACCTGCTCATCTCTAGAGTCAATGAACCTTGTTACTTTATCATCCTCCATCTTGTGCTATGAGTAATAACCTGTACCTGATACCTAATACCACTGCAAAGTACCACAACTGCAACTTTATCTTGATCGTGATCCTGGCGAGGTCGCCAATGTTTACTCGAGGTTTACTCGGGTGAGCAACAGTACACTCATGGTCACTCACCGTAGCCCTGTGGGTCTTCACTCTATCCTCGCGGCGCCACTGTACGCCAGGAGAGTATCCCAGTCAATCCCAACCGGCCTCTGATCGAGAAGGAGTGGGAACACAACTTATTCACTTAACTGTTGTATGCCCGCCCCGTCATAGGGCTCTACTACTAACCACAAGGTCGCCAACTGGTGTTTTCGGTGTCCAGTAACACGTCAGTGGTTTTGTTGAATTGTGGTAATGGTGGCAAGGACATACTCAATAGATCTGATATCAGGCAGGTATTTACTTCTATCACTCTCTGCTTTCAGGTATTACATAGCCACAAGAAATATGGAGGGGATGATATAAACACCAATGTACTTTGTATTTTACTTAAAACTCATTCAAAGACATCACAAGATTATATCAATAAGCAAACAGCTGTTTCAGGCGGGAGTTGTTCGTTCCCACATATAATATGAACTCACTAAGCTGGCAACGCTCCCCCTCACGTCAATGTCAAAATCAGCCGGGCGACTACCCCGCGCAAATGTTACTTTATCTGTTTGCTTGGCGTGATGCGCTAATTTCTTTAAGTTCTCAAAGATCACTAGAAGTTCGAACACACAATATTTGCGACAACAGCACGTAAATACTTCGCTACACTGATCTTGTGCTCAATCAAACATTTCTATATTAAATGTGACAATAATTCACTGTCATGGTATTACACACTGCCCTTCATTAATGATAACTTATGAAGTATATATCACTGGAGTCTCAGTAATTCCTTCCGTGGGCGATAACACAATTAATCACTGCACACATGAATGATTATTCATTACACGAGCATAGACATATATATATATATATATATATATATATATATATATATATATATATATATATATATATATATATATATGGATGAGTCAGACATCAATAATGGTAATAACATAGTTACTGGGCACATAGCCTAACTCCAAATACTGGCATAATTATATATATATATTCTCTCACTATATGATCACATAAAGTCTCATGAAAGACATTCTCAAACACAGTAATTCATCAATTACTCCGGGTGCCTGCATACACCAATAATAATCATAAATATCGTGAGTACTCTTTATAGTACCACTCTGCACACTGGTGCCTTACTGTGACATAGGTGAGCCTTGCTCACGACATACAAAATACTCAGGCTAAATAATATAGCTGACTAAGGGGAATTGGGAGGGAAACTAGTATCACCTACTTCCACCTATCCTCCGGAGAGAGTTGAGTTGCAGCTCCTGGTCCTGGCTCCTTGTGTAGGGAACGCCCACACACACACACTGTAGTGTCCTCCAGGAACTCAATCAAAGTCCCACGATAAGCGCTTCGTCTCCGTGGCTTTTCACTGCAGGTCCGTGCTCCTCCTCGACTTCTTGTACGGTTGGAGTCGGTCTCCGGCCGTCAACTTCTCCTCCCAGCTACGGCTGCCTGCCTACGTCTCGGCTGCAGTCGTTCGGATTCCCGAATAGTTTCCTTCTTCCACTGCTTCCCGGTGGCTCGGTTCAGCCACTACGCCGTCACAAAGGGTGAACTGCCTCAGACGTCGTATACATCACTGCATAGACTTCACTTCTTCTTGCACAGTACCTGTCTGGAGCACTTGTTGCTCAATATCCGTCGATTCCCTCTCTGGTCCAACACATGAACGAGGGAAGACCTCACAGAGTACTGGCAGACTTCGGGTGACGCGTAAAATCCACGGGAGCGGGGAAACAACTGTCAAACTGACAGGACCAATCTTCGCACGTCCAACCACCTTGACGTGTCGTGTCAGACTGATTCCCTCACGGAGGATTGGCTCATCCACTACGTCATCACTGTGGAGCTATCAGCTGTCGCATACGTCGCTGCCTAGACTCCACTCTTGCACAACACCTGTTCCTGGAGCACTTGTTGCTCAATATCCCGTCAATTCCTTCTTCGGTTCAACACATGAACGAAGGAAGACCCCACAGGTGTTGGCAGACCACGGGTGATGCGTAAGTCCTCCGGAGACGGGGTAAACTGTCCAACTGACAGGACCCCCAGCGCACGTCCGACCTCCTTGACTTGCTGTCTTAGACTGATGGCGGCAACGCGGCGCGATGACCGGACCCCCTTTCCTTCGTGACGTCATATTCGCCACGGGAGGTTTTCATTGGCTCCCTGTGCCACGTCGCTGTCGGCGACCAATCTGGTGTCACTGACGTCACACAGTTTTGGCGGGAAAACAGAAGAGCCAGCGCCATATTGGCTTCCTAAAGGGCCTAAACCACAGCCCAAAATACTCTTCTTTTATCAATTTCTCGGCACTCCGAGAACACTCCGAGGAACACTACACTGCAGGGCGTCTCCTACACATATCAACCTGATGCCTGCGACGTAGAGAACGCTCTGGTAAAGTGGACATGACTCTTACTGCAGGGTGAGAAGTGCGTTCTGGGAGAAAATATAAGGGGGGGGGGAACACCGTCACAATATATAAAGATATATATAGGTAGGGTTGGTTAGGTTCGGTCATATATCTACGTTAATTTTAACTCTAATAAAAATAAATTGACCTCATACATAATGAAATGGGTAGCTTTATCATTTCATAAGAAAAAAATTAGAGAAGATATATTAATTCAGTAAAATTTGGCTTATTAGGCAAATCGGGCCTCGCATAGTAGGCTGAGAAGTGAGTTCTGGCTACTAGGTACGACATATATATATATATATATATATATATATACGAAAGATGATATATATATATATATATATATATATATATATATATATATATATATATATATATATATATATATATATTAGAGTCATATCTACTTTACCCGAACGTTCTCTGCCTCCCAGAGAACAATTTGACATATGGGGGAGCATGAGGTGTTCTCGCATAGGAGAGACATTAACTAAAGGGGGGTTTTGACCAGTGGCTTAGGCCCTTTTGGACGCCAAGATGGCGCTGAAGGAGAAGAACAAACTAGCTGGGAATACGAATGACTGCAGCCGTGAGTAAGGGCTGCAGACATAGTTGTGAGGAGAAGGCGACGGTCAGGAAACCGACTCAAACCCTTCAAGAGGTTGTGGAGGAGCACGGAGCCTGCAGAGGAAAGCAGTATGGAGAAGACGCGTTTTGGGTGTTGGGGGAGGTCCTGGGAAGAGCATCAGTGTGTGGGGGGGTGTTCCTACAGCAAGTCGTGAGCCGGGACCAGGAGCTTCAATTCAACCCTCAACAGAGGACGAGTCCACATCATTGATGGTGGAAGTAGGTAATTCAGTTTTCCCTCCCATTCCCCTTTAGTTAGCGATTAGCCAGAGTATCTTCTATGTCGTGAGCAGGGCTCACCAATGTCTATGATTCTAGTAAGACAGTTGTGAAGGGAGATGCTATAGAGCTCTCACGAGATATATATATGGTCTGTGATTGCACCTGTGGTTTGATGAAGTAAGTAATTATCAATAGAAGGCACCAAACCGGGAAGGCCTATGTAGCACTATCAAAGTGCAGGATAATCAGAGGGCGTT